AGCCAAACCTATCATCAAGAGTACATAACTGTTCCAACTACGGAAGACATAGTGTGTCCACGTTCTACGCACAGTAGCTATCAGAAGTTAGTAATAGTTACAAGCCCTCACTCCCGGGCTATGACAGATCCGTTGGATCCGGTCAACCCTGCTCCCCGATAGGCCTTGACAGATTATGCTAGCATAATTTTTCGCATAATTCCTACCAAAATCGAATAATCGCATAATTCGAGGCAAATTGCATACGAATCGCATAAAATTGGAATAATCCGCCTGTTCGCATCAAATTTCATACAGTTGTACATGTTCTACAACAAGTACAAGTAGATGCACCAGGAAGTCGTAGGTTTACGACTCCCTTGATAACATGTCCAGTCCACTACAATCAGTGATGGATGGTCGTAGCTTGGTCGGACGGTGCGTTGACCCCCTTGAACTTTTGCCACTACAGTACAACGCCCTCTACAAAAAAATTCCCCTATTATTTTGCATTTTTGCACAGAACCATTATACATTAGCAGCATATATATGAGCATAAAGCGGGATTCACAGAAGCTTTTTTGCGATGCGACACGCGATGCGACAGGCGCGAAACCGGGAAAACCCCAAATCGCAGCCATGTCGCACCCCACGCAACTGACGCAACTGGGCCATCGCATGCCATCGCAGAAGTTGAGCTTGGCTCAACTTTTGCGATGCGATGCGATGCGACAAGCGATTTGGTGTACGATTTTGACCTTTTCTACAGCAAAGTTGTACAAAGGTGCAAGAGTTGCCTTTAAATTTTTACAAGTTGTGTCAAACCGCGCGAATATCATGGTGACGTACCCAAATCAGCAAAACTTTGTCGCATCGCTGACTTCTTCTGTGAATGGTATTTCGCGAGTTCGCATCGCACGCATCCATCGCAGATCGCGTCGCATCGCGTGTCGCATCGCAAAAAAGCTTCTGTGAATCCCGCTTTAAGCGGGATTCACAGAAGCTTTTTTGTGATGCGACACGCGATGCGACAGGCGCGAAACCGGGAAAACCCCAAATCGCAGCCATGTCGCGGCCCACGCAACTGCCGCAACTGGGCCATCGCAGAAGTTGAGCTTGGCTCAACTTTTGCGATGCGATGCGATGCGACAAGCGATTTGGTGTACGATTTTGACCTTTTCTACAGCAAAGTTGTACAAAGGTGCAAGAGTTGCTTATAAATTTTTACAAGTTGTGTCAAACCGCGCGAATATCATGGTGACGTACCCAAATCAGTAAAACTTTGTCGCATCGCTGACTTCTTCTGTGAATGGTATTTCGCGAGTTCGCATCGCACGCATCCATCGCAGATCGCGTCGCATCGCGTGTCGCATCGCAAAAAAGCTTCTGTGAATCCCGCTTAATGCGGCATAATATGATAACTTTTAGCATAAAAATAGCATGATTCTGCAATTTTTTCAGCAATGCGAAAAGCATAATTTCACGAAAATATTAGCATAATCTGTCAAGGCCTACTCCCCGAGGTGGGTTGACCGGATCCAAATCCGAAGGATCCGGATCCTGATTCGACCAATCGAAAGGGTGCGAATCCAGTGGATCTGGTGGATCGGGATCCCGATCCTACCAATCGAACATGCCCTCAGTGATCTAAAAAAAAATATATATATATATATTGAGACTTACGTTACGGGTAGGACTATTTTTTAAAAAGCGGGATTCACAGAAGAAATAAAAGCGGGATTCACAGAAGCTTTTTTGCGATGCGACACGCGATGCGACGCGATCTGCGATGGATGCGTGCGATGCGAACTCGCGAAATACCATTCACAGAAGAAGTCAGCGATGCGACAAAGTTTTGCTGATTTGGGTACGTCACCATGATATTCGCGCGGTTTGACACAACTTGTAAAAATGTATAGGCAACTCTTGCACCTTTGTACAACTTTGCTGTAGAAAAGGTCAAAATCGTACATCAAATCGCTTGTCGCATCGCATCGCATCGCAAAAGTTGAGCCAAGCTCAACTTCTGCGATGGCCCAGTGCAGTTGCGGCAGTTGCGTGGGCCGCGACATGGCTGCGATTTGGGGTTTTCCCGGTTTCGCGCCTGTCGCATCGCGTGTCGTGTGTCCCGCTTTAAGCGGGATTCACAGAAGCTTTTTTGCGATGCGACACGCGATGCGACAGGCGCGAAACCGGGAAAACCCCAAATCGCAGCCATGTCGCACCCCACGCAACTGACGCAACTGGGCCATCGCATGCCATCGCAGAAGTTGAGCTTGGCTCAACTTTTGCGATGCGATGCGATGCGACAAGCGATTTGGTGTACGATTTTGACCTTTTCTACAGCAAAGTTGTACAAAGGTGCAAGAGTTGCCTATAAATTTTTACAAGTTGTGTCAAACCGCGCGAATATCATGGTGACGTACCCAAATCAGCAAAACTTTGTCGCATCGCTGACTTCTTCTGTGAATGGTATTTCGCGAGTTCGCATCGCACGCATCCATCGCAGATCGCGTCGCATCGCGTGTCGCATCGCAGAAAAGCTTCTGTGAATCCCGCTTTAAGGGACAAGCTTATCTATTTTTGCGGATTTTCTTTCATAAAAAATAAACGTCACAGGCTGCTCTTCGGAGGTGTCCGCGTACGCGTCCCAGCGGTCCGGGCAAGCGACCGCATCTCAGTGGGACACTTGTCCGTGGCCTTTGTACTGGAATCTGTGAGAGAGCCTTTCCAGGGACTACACACCTGGGTACCGGGTATGGACAAATCCCTGGTGTTGCTCCTTTTTTGTTCCTTTCCTTTTTATTTGTTTTTGCTGAGAAAGAAACGTTGCTGCATGAAAAGCTTTCTGTTCACGCCAGCGCCTTTGGCATTTGCTCTAGTAACATTGCTGGCTGATAATGGTCATTGCTCGTGATGCCAATGGTGAAGAGAAGCTGGGTTTCTTGCCGTTTGAAACTTCCTGACTCTGAAAATGTAGCTTGAACTAAGAGCTCCAAGTATCAAGTTTAGTTTTTCGTTGTGCCAGACCTATTGTTAGAAGCTGCAGAGATGAGGAGCAAGGGCCTAGCCTAGGGAGGCGTTGGATTAATGCCAATAATGGTGTTTATGGTCCTGAAGACGCCAGCAGTTTTCACTTGTCAGGAGGACAGCCAAGTTGGAGCAGGCAGATGACAGATTATTTGAGCATTTATAGCAGATCGTCTCAGCACCTCATTGTTACTAGTATCTGACAAATGCCTATTGATAGTCTGCATTAGAGCATAGCAGAATTGATCATGTCACAAGTAGTTACAAGACTTGATGTCCTACGATTATGCTCAGATCATGTTGCAACTTCACGGGAATATTCGTCCTGCCACTGTGCGCTCTCCCAGAATTGCATGCAGAAGTTACATGCCTGTCACAGTGTGCAATGGACAACGCGTTTGCATTGCTTATGGATGCAAGCGGATGGAGTGTAGACCAGATGAGAGAAAGTGATCCGGATATTCAACTAGCTTGGACTGCCATAATTAATTGGCCAGATGCCTGGACCATCTGAACATTGCTCCGAACCAATCCACAGAAACAATACCCACACAGGAAGCCAAATGATAAACCCATTCAGCAGCTATCGAACCTTTCATCAAAACGTAATGCAGTGCATGCCTACTACTACTACTCAAATGAGATCAACAGATGCCACATGCAGATACAACGTGGAGGCTCAGTATTTTGAAGAACACAGTGCAGTCTAGACAACTAGAACAACGGGTCTTGCACCTAATGTCCCTGATTTGCTTGCCGTATTTAGGTCCTTGCAATTCTCCGATGGTTATGTACCACAGTATGAGATATATGAGGGATCCCGGCAGCATGATAGATCCATCGGTACGTGAAATTCTCCTGGACGTTTGTGTGTGGTTATAGTGGTACAGGACATGTGATGTACGCCTCTTTGGTCGCTCACACATGATCCATTACCAGCATTGGTTACACTTTATTATCAATTAATATTTGTTATGACTTACGCTGGTCTGCGTACCCACCCACTCTACTCTAAAAAGTAGAGACTCTCGCTTGCCATTAATTTATCCGATAGTTTGACTCTCTAGGAGTTTCCCTACTACAGTACATGTATTATATGATAATTTATATTACCAATGCTCTAGACAGCAAGCTGTTTTACAATATGAATTATCCTTCTACATGACATTGTATATCTTCTTGACACCATGACTTTCTTTGAAGGTCCTGTAGCTATGAAAACGATTCTCTTTGGCAAGCCACCCACTCTGCTATAAATGCTCAAAGTTAATAATCATTCTGTCATCTGCCTGCTCCAACTTGGCTGTCCTCCTGACAAGTGAAAACCGCTGGCGTCGTCCGGGCCATAAACACCATTATTGGCATTAATCCAACGCCTCACTTGCTCCTCATCTCTGCAGGTCGTAACAATAGGTCTGGCACATCGAAAAACTGAAATATTTGGAGCTCTTAGTTCAAGCTACATTTTCAGAGTCAGGAAGTTGGAAATGGCAAGAAACCCAGCTTCCCGTCACCTTCTAAGTTGACATCACGAGCAATGACCATTATCAGCCAGCAATGTTTTACTAGAGCAAAGGCGCTGGCGCATGGCGGGAACAGAAAGCTTTCCATCCAGCAACGTTTCTTTCTCAGCAAAAACAAATAAAAAGGAAAGGAACAAAAAAGGAGCCATACCCGATACCCGGGTGTGTAGTCCCTGGAAAGGCTCTCCCACAGATTCCAGTACAAAGGCCACGGCCAAGTGTCCGACTGAGATTCGGTCGCTTGCCCGGACCGCTGGGACGCGGACACCTCCGAAGAGCCTGTAACGTTTATTTTTTATGAAAGAAAATCCGCAAAAATAGATAAGCTTGTCCCTTTAGCCTTTCGCTTACGTTACCATGGTTACTAACAAGACAAACTACGTAGTCGTTACGTCACTGCTGGTCATCGACGTCATCGAGTTTCAAATCAGGATTCAGGAACACAAAAAGTGTGATGTGCTAGAAAGGATGAAGAAGCAACAAAATCTTTTGTACAATGTACTCAACCCCATGGCACGTTTACAAATTGTAGTTAGCATGAGCGCAGATCTATCTTAGTGGACAACGACGGGAACATGGAGGCGAGCAAGGCGGCTGAAAACCAGCAAGAGGGAATTCTCTACGACCTTCTGCAGCCTGCGGAGTGGACGCTCGATCCAGAATTGGTACGCGAATATTGCTGAAGTTCATTTCTATAACTTTATGATTGTTCGTAAAGTCCAACGCAGCCACTTTCACATTTGAACTTGTTGTAGGTTCTCCATCTCTATATCGGTCCCGTCTGTGCAAATAGTGGACTCGGTGAAATGTAAAGTCAGCCATTTGCAGTAAAGAGACCGTTTAGGAGATGAAAGATGTCACACGTGTGTCAATGTCGTTCGAATTCTCAGTTCATTAGTTAGAGCTTTCAGCTTCTAGAACCAGTTCCAGATGGTGTATCGATATCCTATCCGGTGTTGATTTATTTGGTCATGAAGCAATTTAGAAATTTATAGTGAAGAAAAAGGACCAAGGAACTACAAGTTACGCTATAATGTCCACTAACACCACCTGTTACTTGACAATCAGCTCATGCTCGTGTGGTGTTAAAGGGGAAGTTAAGGCAAAAATTAAAATTTCACCAGTTGTAGTCTTCGGGGTGCTGAGTCGAATGGTCTTGGTCCGAGAAAGCTGAGACGCTCCCTTCCTACTTGAATCCCAATCGAACTCGCGCACTTCCACCGAAACTGGGTGACTGCGCCCTACGAGATGGGGATTTGTATGCAAAATGTCACTAACAGCACCATTTCGTTCTTATAAAAGCACGGGTGACCGCCATTGGCCCATATATTGTAGTCTTTTGGACGCTGAGTCGACTGGTTTTGGTCCGAAAAGGCTGCGATGCAGCGTTCCTCCTTTATTCCCAATCGAACATGGTTGAACAAGCGGTCACGTGCTCCTGGGTGCCAAAATCACCTGGTCACCACGCCAGCAGGCGACAACTTTCACACCAAGGTTCAACTCGAGTGACAGGACTGCACCCAAAAAAGGTCAAAACAGGCTGTAAGTTGTACCCTGCAGGCACGGTGACCAGGTGACTGGTGTACGCAGGAGCACGTGACCGCTTGTTCAACCATGTTCGGTTGGGAATAAAGGAGGAACGCTGCATCGCAGTCTTTTCGGACCAAAACCAGTCGACTCAGCGTCCAAAAGACTACAACATATGGGCCAATCGCGGTCATCCGTGCTTTTATAAGAACGAAATGGCGCTTTTAGTGACATTTTGCATACAAATCCCCATCTAGTAGGGCGCAGTCACCCAGTTTCGGTGGAAGTGCGCGAGTTCGATTGGGATTCAAGTAGGAAGGGAGCGTCTCAGCTTTCTCGGACCAAGACCATTCGACTCAGCACCCCGAAGACTACAACTGGTGAAATTTTAATTTTTGCCTTAACTTCCCCTTTAATGGACACTCTAGCGTAGCTTATAGTTCCTTGGTCCTTTTCTTTACTATAAATTAATCATCGGCTCTCCATCCAAGGCTATTCATGAAGGAATCCTAGCCCATAGCCACCCACACGAGTAGCAAGTATTGCCTTCACCGGCTGCACGGGTAAATGTACAGTTAACTTGGCTAATAACGACTTCGGATATAACGACAATTCGCGAATAACGACAGAATTTCCATGCCCAGAGCAAAGTCCCATCCAACTGTAATACATAGAATGCGACTTCGGGTATAACGACACTTCGCGAATAAGGACACTTTTCTGATGCCCCGCCGAGTGTTGTTATAAGCGAAGTTGACTGTAGTTGGAATCTGGAACGGATACTTTGGTGCCGTCAATCATTAATTTTTTCTGAACCTTGTCCTCACCCACTGAATGAGGTGCGGCGAGCCCATTTGTGGAATCATTTCCAAGTCCGCCCGGAGTCTGGGGATTGCAGGAGTTGTCGGCCGTTGGGCGGTTCAAAAGGCAATTGGGTTATCTTCCCAAGATTCCTTTTGAGTCCCTCTCCCCCGGGAGACCCACCAGACCAATCCAGGGTAGGGGCAAAGTACATGAACGCGAATGTGTGTGCACGTTTTGAATGGTTACGTGTACCGTAAAGTACCGCGAGAGAGTCCGCCATCTTGTCCTTTCATGGTCGTGTCGTGGAGGTGGTGTCCTGTCTGTAGGTCATACGACACAGACCATGTACACACATTGCACGTTGTGCAGTTAATCCGTACTCAAAATTTACCGTCAGGCGGTCACGAGCTCCACCCAAAAACCTGCCAAGTGTAACCTTAGTACACTATGGTTCTCACACCGTACAAACTTCGTTGCACTCTGCCATACGATTGTCCTTTCCCTGGCTGTAAAATCAAGGTGGGGTGCTCTCGCGAGACGGGGCGCTCTCGCGGTACTTTACGGTACATGGATGTGCTTTTCTCTTCAAAATGTTCCCCCGGTCGCAAACTTTTGAATGGGTGCTATCCCAGTACAAGCTGCTGTGGTTGGCGCTATATCGTTAACCTGGTGATCCCCGGCGATTGGTGTCTGAGGTCTAACGTGTCAGTGTCCATCGTATTATCCCGTTTATACGCCTACCCCGTTTTTAGTTCCGTGTTCACGTCGTAAAGGTTCGGCTCATATTCAGGAAAATACAGTATATTTTTGCTTGTTCCCGTTTTTTGTCTGTATCCAGCCCGCCAAGTCCACATCCAGGCAGTTTCCATGGAACCTTGCACTCTCTGCACGTGGTAAGTTGTCAGTTTGTTCAATATTGCTTCCCTGACAACTGTTCTATTGTACATGTCTATTTAGCTAGGCGCATGCGAAGAACGTCGAGTTGAAGGTGATGTTGTGCACACTCTCACGTCTGTGTGTGTGTGGTTGTGTGTGTGTGTGTGTGTGTGTGTGTGTGCGTGCGTGTGCGCGTGTGTGTGTGTGTGTGTGTGTGTGTGTGTGTGTGTGTGTGTGTGTGTGTGTGCGTGCGTGCGCGCGTGTGCGCGCGTGTGTGTGTGTGTGTGTGTGTGTGTGCATGTGTGTGCATGTGTGTTGTATATTGTACCTGCATGCGTCTGTGGGTGCATGCTTGTGTTGGTTTGTGTATGTACAGATGCTGGTTCGACACTGTGGTCCTTGGCCTCGAGTCCGTTCAGGTAAGCCATTCATATCTGCTCGTGTGTGCACGTGGCATTGCATGACACCAGTACGTATGTTTTGCCGGAGGAGAATAATGTGAATCACATTGGAGGTGGCAGGTGTGGAGTACACTCAAATGTCTCTTATCCGGACGCCTCAGATACAGGCACGTCTCTCTACCGGGCACCTTCAGCTTGAGTTCCTATGGCAAAAGTACTTCGAATTGGGGGGACTTTTTTTGTATTCGCAAGTGCTTATTTGTCACTGCCAACCTGTGTAATCGACACATCTTTATCAAAGGATTCTTTTTGTATCCTGAACATGTGCAATGTGTGCCAAATATACTTCTTCAAAAAATGATACGATACGTGGTAGATGAGTTAACCAGAGATACGGGCAGTGCCCGGTCCCAAGGTGCCCGGATAAGAGACGTCCAAGTGTACTGTGTTTTTATTTTACTAGCTGCAGTAAAAAGCTGTGTTTGGCGGACCATGTACCAAGCGGAATCCTGTACTGACAGACCGGACAAATTTCCATGCACCAAAGTGCTGTATGGATTGAACGTGCATCCCTGGATCAAGCGGAGTCCTGTCGCATCCGGACAGTGTCCGCTGCACCGAGGGCATCCATTCGGTTAGGGCAGGTATTACTGTACTTCCGCCGGAAACATAAACTTCATGATGCGCATAACTTCAAAACACCGTCAGCACCAAGAACAGAAAACTCATCATCCATCGTAAATGGTTGTGAAAAATGACAACGGTGCGACTATTTGTGCTTCACCTAAACTTCATCATGGGAGATAGGAGTTGTTTGCTTGGACAGTGGAGATTCTTGGCTGTACTGTAAATGCTTCGATTTTGAAGTTCGGTTCAGGATTGACCGTGTTAAAGTCAGTTGAGTATGTTCATGTTTGGGCGTGTATGTGCCTGTGTGTTGATTTCAACCTGGTCAAATGGGTATTTTTGTCTCCAAGCCCGGCCAGTGACCTAGATAATTTAGTTCCGGATGATGGATGCGTATTTGTTATACGTGTGTGTGTGTGTGTGTGTGTGTGTGTGCGTGTGCGTGCGCGCGCGTGTGCGTGCGTGTGCGTGCGTGCGCGCGCGTGTGCGTGCATGTGTATATGCGTGTGCGTGTGTGCATGCGTGTATGTCTGTGTCTGTATGCGCATGCATACAACCTGTGTGTGGCTATGTCATGCAGATGGCCATCTCACACGACCACACTGCAGCAGGTTGTGGCACAGAAGCTGCCATGGAAGCTAGCTATTTCTCCCGACGGTCTCTTTCTGGCCATTCTACAAGATCGCCATGTCGAGATCAGACGGTAAGAGATGATTGCTAGAGTGCATGCTTAGAAAGACTGTTTTCACTCAGCTGTGGATGTGGTCTTGTGACTCTTGTCCCAAATAGAAAACGTCTTGTGTGGTTTGATTTGAACCCCCCCCCCCCAAACACACACCCATCCCTTTCTACGGTACTGTATGCACATGTGCCCAGTTCCAGCTGGTGTCTATTTCCTGTCTGATTGTCTGGCCCATATTTTCTCTGTCTGTTTTCGTGTCGTGGCAGATGTGTGGATCGGGATGAGGATACGTCCGTGTTGATCGCTAGGTTCGACGGTGAGTCATCAACTGCTGGTGGTCGGATTCAGGTTGTAGACAGCGCACGGCCCACCGAAGTGTGCGGCTCTGATCCGAGCCCATCGTTCATCAAGCTTCCTGTGCTTTGTCAACAGGTTTCAGTATTTCAGTCTTTGCGTAGCATGTGATCGCACTTTTTTTCTGGTTTTGCAGAAGTACGTTTTTGACTAGCCGCGAGTACTTTTTATGCAAAAAACACAACTCCCAACTCCAA